TGTCGGTTCGTTGAAGTTGTTGTTCCAGTTTGGTTGTCATTGGCCATGTTTCTGCACCACATAACAACACCGGACGTATCACAGATTAATAAAGTCTTGATCGTAGTAGTAGTGGGATGTCACGCCGCATCAATATAGAGGCAAGGAGATGCCATTTATTCCAGGCTGCACGTATGCGTGCTCGAACGGCAGCTTCAGCTGTTCCAGTACAATCCAGAACATCCCCTAGATATTGAAACGATGTGACTTTCTCTATTTTAATGGCTTCAAAAACAGTGCTATTTTGAATTTGTTGTTGTGGATTGATGCAAGCAGGACAAACAAAATTGGACACTTTAGATAAAGTACCAACTATTTTTGAACAACGTTTGTGACACCACTGGTTACACTGCTGACACTTGATTGAATTGTTACCTACACCAGCTTTACAAACTGAACAGGGCCATCGTCCAGTAGCTGTGGATTGGATGGGTTCACCAGTGTTCATTGCTTTGGTTTTGCTGATGTTGACTTTGAATCCATGATCGGCGAGTCTGGTGTTCCAATCTTCAAACATCTGTGCTGCATTCTGCTCAGACGTGGCTGTTAAAACGATATCATCAGCATATATTAGATTTCAAATGTCACCAGTGCGTATTGGCTTTGTGATTTCTTCCATCACAGTTATAAATAACAGTGGATCGAGCCTTGGTGAACTACAACGCCGATGTCAAATGCATCTGTGTCTCCAACCGTTGTGCTGACGAGAGTCTCAGTATTCGTATACATTTCCATCACAAGTCGAACAAGATATTCTGGAATGAGTTGTCGACGTAGACTCCACCTGATTGCTTCACGGGGAACGATCAAATGCTTTTTCAAGGTCTACAAATATGTGTCATAGATATACTTCTATTGCAGTTGCCGAAGGATGTGAATTGCTTCAATTGTTGATTTCTCCGCTAGGAAACCAAATTGATAATTTCCGATTGTGATGCATGACGTTAATCTTTTCTCAATGATTTTCTCGACAATTTTTAGGGAGTGTTCTAACAGATGCATACCCCGATATGATAAACAGTTCAATAGATCACCTTTGCCTTTTTATAGCGGGACTGTCATGCTATAGTTCCATTCAGTCGGCATTGAGCAATTTCTCCAGATTTCACGGCAAAGTTGTAGTAACGTTTGGATACCTGCAGTACCAGATGCTTTGATAATGTCATTTGTGAGTCCCGAGGGCCCTACTGCCTTTCCATCCTTCGTAGCTTCCAGAGCTTCTGTAAGCTCCTCTACAGGGATGTCTGAAATCGGACCTTCGATGGGTGGAGGTTCAAAGTTGACATTGATGGGATTTGTTTCATTTAACAGACGGTTGAAATATTCTTTCCCCTAGCTTGATCTCGTCTTGTTCAAGAACCATCTCATTTTTGTCGTCTTTGATACATGAGGCACCAACTATGTCTTTTTTCGTACGCTTTGCTTGTTTTGCTATACGATACAGAGATTTCATTTGTTCACCTCTGCTTTTAGTGAGCCACTCTCTGCACTGATCTGTCCGAGTCAGTGTGACTCGACGTCTTGCATAGCTGTTCTTTTCACGGAAAATTTGATGGTCATCAACAGACTTTGATTTTTGCCATTGCTTGTATACAGCTTTCTTTTCAGCTATTGCATTTTCACTGTCATTCCACCATCACGTGTCCCGTTCATGCTGACGTTTTGTACGAGTTTTTTTACAAACTGTAGTTGCAACGTTTATCAAAACGGTTTTGTATGTACTCTAATCTGGATTGGTTTGCGATTGGTGGTCTAACTGTGTGGCGACAATCTGTTGAAATTTTTCTCGATGAATATTGTTCATCATATCTTCATGCATCGATTTGAAGCAGCCATCTTTGCCACAAAGGCTTTTTATCCTTTTTACACAATGTACACATGCAAGCACCGCATCCTATAAGCTGAGTATATGATAACCATTGAAATGTTTGATTCTGCGTCTATTTGAACCACTGAGCCATCTCGCCGGCCAGCATTTTAAAGTGATTATCTCAAGAACACGTTCATTCCAACACTCACAAAGCTATTTTTTGTTTAGTTTCTTTTTGTTTGCCATATTTCAAACACCAGAGTTGATCAAGATGTTTGTTATAAAGAGCTTCGAGCAAGTCGGTATTTGTGTTGATAAAATTTTGAAGGGTAATAACATAAGACAGGCTAACACAATATTATTATATATCATAATTTTTTCCCCTTACTTTTTCAAACAAACTTCTGTTATATGCAGGGCATCGAACCGTAATTGTTCCTAATATTTCATTCATAATTTTCCATTTTTCTCTGGTATTGGTACATTTTTCAAATTTATTTGAATAAAACTTTTTTATTGCAATTCTTTTCAATTTAATAAAATCATTTCTGGATCTAGCATACAAAGTTTTATTGCATGACGTTGGGTTTTGAAGGTAATTGAGGTAGAGTTTATTTTTATCCATATAACTATTGTAGAGATTGATGTTCATCCAATTTTTTCTAAAACGATTTTTCGTGCATATAACAGGACAATTGAAATTTATAACATCCATGTATTTCGTGAAGAAACCATCGTATTCAGAATCAAGATCAACTCCATACTGAGGTTCCCATTTAATTACAGCTAAATTCTCATTAACTAGGGCGATTTTGTGGGGGTCGATTAGCCTAGTTTTTAAGCAATTGCGTTTAAAATTGAAAGAAATAGATGTAAACTTATCAGGTAAGCCAAGGAAAATTGGAAGGTGATCAGAGATATCTACCAATAGTATACCCTTTGTAAAGACATTGCTTTTATGATTTGTAAAAATATTATCAATGATGGATGAGGTTGAGTCAGTGATTCTGGTAGATTGATTTATGATAGGGTATAGATCAAAACCAGCCAGAATGTCTAAAAACGTCTGAGAAGCATTATTGTTAACAGCCAAGTTAATATTGAAATCTCCTATTATATAACATTCAGTTTTAAAATTAGTAGAAAGAAGGTTATTTAAAAATTCCTGCAATCTATTAAAAAAGTCGTCTAACTTACCACTAGGCGGGCGATAAATGCATATGTAATAACAGGGTTTGGAATTGCAAACTAATTTGATACCACTCCATTCAAAATCATTGAAATTATGACTAATTTTCTCTACAATTTCATAATTTAAACTATTTCTAATCAAAAAACCAGTTCCGCCACCTTTCTTATATATCCTATTGTTATTAACTAAATTGTGACAAGGAAAAGTTGTTTTTAGTGAGCTATAATCCTCACCATCACTCAACCAAGTTTCACTCAGACATACTATGTGATTAAATGAATTAAGAATATTTACAAATTGAGTTATATCAAATATATGAGCAAATAAGCTCCTACAATTTATATGAACGATGAAAAAATTGTTATTGTTATTTAATTTAGCGAACAACGTTGATTTAAACTGTTCAATAGTAAAGTACATGGAAACTTGATTATACAGAATGCAGTCATAATTTAAATCAATATCAAAATTAAAAATATATTTTAGAGAATTATTATTTCTATCCAATGTAGAATTATTTAAAAAAATGTTACTTTCATCAAATATCTTATCACTTTTCTTTACATTTGGTTCACATAGTCAGCTTTCTGGATTGGCAATGTTGTTGTTTGCGGAGCCCTCGGGGAGGTTTGTATCATTTTTTGTTGAAACTGTTGAAGCACTGGATAAAACGTTATCAGACTTGGTGTTGTTTCTGTTAAATATCCATTCTCGTATGATAACTGAACTGGGCCAGTTTGACGTGGACATGACTTTGTTGTATTCAACGGCTGGAACACATAACCTAAACGAAGTATGATTTATTTGAACTTCATCAGGTCCAAGAGGCTTGGTAGTTGGATTACATGAGATCAACTTTATTCCCCTACTTTCACAATGTTTAATTATAACGCTACTATCAGGCAAGTTCACATTACCAATGTAGAAGATTTTTTTTCTAATGATAGATTTAGATGCCGTGAAGAGTGGATTGGTTGTCATTGATCCCACAATCTTAGTAGGTTTTGCTATATTGAGTTGGTTTGTTGTTACAAAAGCTTCAGACTTGGTAGGTTTTGCTAGTGAGTCCTTGTCGTTTTTTACAGCAAGTTGGACAGGTTTTGCAGGTGTCGGTAATGCTCTTGATTTAGACCTTTTCTTAATTTTCTGAACTAGTGTAAATCGGTCGTCAGTGGCGTTGTCGTCAGATTGTAAATCACAGCTTGTTTTTGCAGCAGCTAGCACACCAACATTTGTCCATGGTGTAGAAGTCGTTTCTACACTATTACTAAAAACACTTGTGTCATTTATATCCTTTAAATTGTCGTTAGATTGTTGACGATATGCCGGTAATAGCTCCCGGTTATTGCTGTTATTTACTTTATCAACATTTTCAAGATTATTGAACTTAGTTTTCAAATTTTCAATATCAAGATGAAACGACAGTAACATTTTATTAATCTGAGTTTGCTGACTAGATAACAGTTGTTTTATTTCATTTTTTATATATTCAAAATTTAGTTTCAACCATTTTTCCATGCTAGGAATTTTATCCATATTAATACTACAAAAATCAGGCAATTTATCCAACAAATTGTTCGCTTTAAAATATTTAAACAAATTTAGACATTCAACTAACTTTTCACGTTTATTACCGCCACTGCCACGTGATGGAAATTTTTCAGTTTTATCTAATTTTAACAGTTCAAATTCAGTTTTTAACAATTTAATAGCAACATTTATATCCTCACTATTGTAAAATTCACTTGTATTGTAAATAAACGTATCTTCGTCAATCAATTCCGAATTATTATTAATAAAATATAACAATTCGCAAACTTTAACCGATTTCGACGACGCCATAATAATCAAAAATTAATGTAATACTTCCAACTCTGCAAGTGTAGTGTGATGATCTTTCATCAGATGGTTGAATGAAAACAAATCTTGTGAAGATAGTGAAGTTCTCACAGAAGACAATCATGGAGTTTCCTGTATCGCTTTTTCTGGTCCGAACCTGCACAAGTTGACTTTGTCTCTGATGTCTTCTCTATTGCTCACGTCGAACGTTTCGTTCGACCTAACAACAAACCGGTCCATTCTATTTATCTATTTAAGCCACTAATTTATTTTGTTGTATGCTCTGGCGAATCCTACGCAATATAAACTGAGCAGGTCGACAGCCATCCAGGCTGGCATGGCATCAAATATGTGAGATATGTGGTAGCCGTCATAGTTGCCGTCTGTTAAATGTATTTTGTAATGAGCACCCACCTCATGGTTGTCGTGTTCAATAATGTGTGAACTGTAATAAGGTGGTTTATGCAAGGCCAAATTCTTCCTGAAAACCTCACATTGGTACCATTTGTTTCTGACATTACCGGGTTGACAGATACATTCAACGTACTTATTACCAGTCACCGTGGACTCAATTCATTCCATTTCAACGGGACAATCTCCTCCACCTGATGAGCAATCTCTTTCTCTGCATGAATCACCTCTCCATCCCGGATCGCATCCATCAGGACAGTTTGCAGTTATTTTGTAACTTTCTTTGTTTCTGTTTCTGCAGTGAGAATAAGTCGATACTCCTCGTTGGAAGTCGTATTGGAAGCGTGTTGCGAATATCGTTGTTTTTGTCTCATGACCTTGGTGATAACATCCGCAAACTTCGGATCCGTCACTTGAGCATGGATCACAAATTAATGCTGCGAAGGAGCTATTTCCTGTACCATGTTCTTGAAAGCAACTGCATCTGTTCGACGTGTCGATCTTCTGGAAAAACGTATAATTTGTCTCAAAACAGAAATACGAGCACATTTCAAATGTGTAAGTGTTTGGTAATGTCATCAAAATAACATCTGTCTGACGTGTTTGAAAACTGGCGTAGTCATCGTGCGTCATTTTTATAAAATAAATTGTGCTTGCTTTTATAAAATAAATGTTAATCACTTCCACCACAAGCATCTTTATTGTCGCAAGGAACATCACACTGGGATGAAGCTACTGCTGAATCTAACCTTCCAATACAGTTGCATTTATTCCACTCTTCAAAGCGATCATATTGTTAATTTCCAACTTGCACTTCAGTGAACATTCATCCACTGAGCCAATTGATGCAACTGTTTTCGTTGAGCTGTTTCAATAGCATCCTATGTAACATCCTATTCTTTCAAGTCGATCGCTGCATGGGCTACTGAGGGTAAGTTGATGGAGTCAATTACAAATGCCCAAAAGATAATTAACATTAAAAAATATTGAAAACGAGCTTTGAAAATGAAATTTGCATACGTTACAACTGTTTACATGTTCGATTGTATGACGTCCCTCAAGCTTATCTAATGTTTGAATCAATAACAAAAATACGATGGGTCTTGTGTTCTATTTTTATTTTTCACTATTTGTTTTCTAAATTTTTTTATTCAATTGCTTTGTGTCTGTTTAAAATTATAAACAGAAACGTTTTCAAATTTTAAAATTTGTGCTAAATATCAGCTTGTCTGTTTTGTTTCATTTGATTAATAGAATAATTAAGTGATAACGATTATTAATGTAAGCTGGCTAACTGGCTGGTTAGCTAGTTGATCAATTAGCCGTTGGGTTTCAAATTGTGGAAGTATTTTTGTTTATATTTGAAGATCATAAATACACACATGCACGAAAATATATACATGCATGCATAAATACACATGGAGTACATCGTCGAATCGACGAATTGGGTCATCTTTGAGTTCTAAAATGAGCGAAAAGTCCTATGTTTGGTGAACATTTCCGTGCACAAGTTTCACAAATCCATACACCTGTACTATCGCCGCTTTGGGTCGTTTGTTTTCGTCGAGTCTTTTTTTCAGCGAGAGCAGTTGTGCGTGCCAGTTCAAAAGTTAAAACCGCCGACTTGGTAGACCTCCATTCCGAGCGTCGCAGAGCATCAACACAAAGAGCCTTTGAGTCTAGACTACATTTTTTCATATTTTCTTTAAGGCTGTTTTTGTATCTGCGTACAAGGCCACTTGCCAGTCTATTTCCCGAGCTAGCTGACCAAAAAAGACCTGCTTGGGGATTCTTGTATCTGGCATACGCATAACGTGCCCTATCCAGCGAAACTGAGCCTGAAGCAGCAGCGATTCCACACCCATTATACCGCACATTGTTAGAACCACTGTGTTTGGGACCTTGTCTTCCCACCGGATACCTGCAATCATGCGCAGGCATCTCATATGAAACTAATCAAGCCTACGAATGTGGCGACGGTAGAACGTCCAGGTTTCGCTACCATAAAGCAGTGAAGTATCATCATCGATAGTTGCTTTATTGAAGATATATCCGCCTAGATAACAAAATTTATCAACAGAATTGAGACGCGAGTCGTCCGCCATTCCGCCATCACATGGCCCATTGCCCCCAACGAAACTGGGTAGCTCTGATTTAAGACCTTAGTTTTCTTCAGACTGACTGTAAGTCTAAATCTCTTAGCTGTTATATAGAAGCGGTAGAGCAGCGTCTGAATCTCGGCCTGTGTGTGTGCAACCAGTGCACAATCATCAGCAAATAACAGGTCCCGGACAACAGAGATCTGTGTCTTGGACTTGGCTTGCAATCGTCTAATATTAAAATCATCCCCATCCATACGATAGCAGATTAGTATCTCCTCACTACCGTGATGAAAAGCAACTCGGAGCATCAATGAAAAGTAGATGTTGAACAGCAATGGAGCCATAACGCATCCTTACTTGGTTCCGTTTGTAACCTCAAAATCCTGTGTCCGTTCACCATTTTCAACCATACTCGTTTTCATACCTTTATGGAAGGAACGAACAACGGCAACAAAAACAGAGGGGCAACCAATTTTTGACAAGCAGCGCCAGAGTGCTGACCTATCAACCGAATCAAATGCCTTGGTCAGGTCAACAAAAACCATATACAGTTCCCGTTGCTGCTCGCGACATTTTTCTTGCAGTTGCCTTGCAGGGAACACCATATCAATTGTGCTGCGTCCAGCTCTGAATCCACACTGACCCTCCGGAAAGATATCTAGATTGTTGACATGTTTTGCCAGGCGTTGAGCAATCACTCTGGCTAGTATCTTCCCAGGTATGGAGAGCAGAGAGATTCCTCTGTGGTCGTCGCAGTTTGATCGATCACCTTTTTTTTTAAATATGTGAACGATCAGAGCATCTTTGAATTCCTGAGAAACCGACCGCTCTGCCCACGTGCGTTCAAAAAGCTCCACCAATCTCTTTCTGGGATGCAGACCACCGTGTTTAAACAGCTCTGCAATCAACCCATCCAAACCCGGCGCCTTACCAGATGACAACCGAGATATTGCTTTATCCACTTTCTCCAAAATAGGGGAAACTTCAAGATCATAATTAGGCTCCCAATTTGGCAGCTCAAACAGGACCGAGTCATCAAAGAAGGTCTTTTGATTTAGCACCCCCTAGAAGTGCTCTGCCCAGCGAGCTAAGATGCCAGGCCCATCCTTAATCAACGACGTACCATCACGTGAACGCACTGGTATACCCCCGAGTCACGTAGACCATATACCATCTTAAGGCCTTTATAGAATAGCTTCAGATCACCACGGTTAGCAGACCAAGACTCCTTCATTCTGCGCAGACCTTTCACGTTTGTAGCATCCAAATTAAGTGCTTCATTGCAGTGACTGACTACTTCACTGTAAGCTTGTTCCTTTAAATAGGCTGCTGCAAGGTTTAAATGACACTGAAGTTTCAACAGTTTTGCTTGCTTAAATTGACTGTTGGTTAAATGTTTTATTTCAATGTCATCTAAATAACGTAAGGAGTTTTTAAATCTCAAAAAACTAAATTTTAATTTATTGATAAAAATTAATGTCTCTTGATTCTTAAGGTGTTCAGCTCTTTTTAATTTTTCATCAGCAAGCAATTCACTCATTTCAGCAGCTCTTTCTTCATAGTTATATATACGAAAATATATACATGCATGCATAAATACACACACACACACATACATACATACATACATGAATGCGGTTTGGCCGCGGCCAGGGCAGCGGACGAGAAAATGAAAAAATATGGGAACGCCCTCCCCTCGATGGAATTCTTGCCAATATGTATCGAGGTTCTCGGCCCGATGGACCCCAACATCCTTAAATTTCTTAAGGCAGTATGTAAAATGATCAGCGTCAGATCAGGCGACAGCAAGGAACTGTTTTTCGCAACTAACCACATTTCGTGCTTGTTGCAGCGGTTCCTGCGTGTCTGTGTGCTTGAAAATATCCAACTGAATGCCGACATGTGCAATTAACGACAAATCAAAGTGTTAATCCATTTGTTACTTGATGTTTGACGGTTCAGTGTCACTCATCAGGTTTTGGTTTTAACATACATACATACATACATACATACATACATACATACATACATACATACATACATACATACATACATACATACATACATACATACATACATACATACATACATACATACATACATACATACATACATACACACACGCATACATACATACATACATACATACATATATACATACATACATACATACATACATACATACATACATACATACATACATACATACATACAAAAACATACATACAAAATCATACACAATTGCGTACATACAAAAATATAAAAAAACAAACATAGGCACTTGTGTAATTGATTTACAAAAACAGACTATTAAAAATATCAACAATTTGTATAACTATATTGAAAGTTTGAATGAGATAACAACTACTACAACTAGTGCAACAATAACAACAACAACTACTACAATGAGAACATCCTCTTTTTCATTTTAAAACAAACATTGTAATTATAAAGTTAAAATAAAACTTATAATGTAAATTATATAGATATTCTACAATGCTCGCCATACATTTTAAATGGGCACAATGAAAAATTGAATCAGCATTAAATTATGTTCAAATCGTGTTCCTACCGCAGTAATTTGCGTAAGATGACGATACTACGGAATTAATTAAACTTCTATGAAAAGGGTCAGACTAAATAAAATTAATTAATGATAGTTTAATATATTTAAAAAAACCTAGCGGGGAAATTTCAATTGAATTTATTATAATATTTTATTTTTTCAATTCGTCTATCAAATTGTTATTAAGATTTTGAAAGTATTTTGATGTTTTATATTCCTTAAATTTAGAGAAGTTAGGTTCGTGGCAAAATCTTAATTCCAGTATTTCGATAGTTTCTCCTCGTCGAATGCAATATGCGGACGAAGTGATTTGAAGAGATATGATATTGGAAGGTATTTGTTGCAGTAGAAATCTCCGTAGATCAATACATCCGCACCTGCAAATGATTGAATTTTTTCTAAAATTAATATCGATAGTATATTGTTGTGACGTGTTGTATTTCTTTTCTGGAACGAAATCGAACTACAGTTTGACAGCACATGCTTATTAGTTTGACGAGCCTGACGTAGTGGACACATCATTTGTCAACATATGTTTATTAGTTTGACGAGCCTGACATAGCATGCATCTTGCCCCAGCGATAGAGGTTGGCGTTTGTTGGAAGTTGTTGAATGAGAGCCTTCCTGACAAATTTGAACAAAACTCCTTGTAGGCCTTTTGTGAACTTCGACCATTAAATTATGTGGATTTCTGGAATATGATCTTTAATCGCTTTAACTAACATCCCTTGACATTGAAGTGATGATAGATGAACATAATCTGACTATTATTGACCTGCCAATAGTGCTTTAGGCGTTGGTTTTATTTCAGCTGATTCAGAAAGGATGTTGTCTATTTTGATATAACTGTTGAAAAATGATTTATGTAGACAAATTATTTCTTTATCGGCATGCGTTTTGAGGTAACTTCGAAGTTTGACTCTTAACGCTTTTGTGTAACTCTTCAATGATCTGATATTCAATCTTTCTGATTTAAAAGGGAGTGATAGATACTCCGACACGCAGCTGCTAATTGGCAGGGCCAACCAGTTTTTAATCGATTCATCAATCAATGGATCCAGATTGTTGCCTATCCAAGTCAACGGAATGTCTTAAATGCGAAGTTCGAATGCTAACTGGGATGAGATGTATTGCTTTAATTGCAATTTCCATTGTGGCGTTGTGTCCAACCCGTTTATAACCGACAACATGTGTTGGAGTTTATCGATAAGTAACTTTTTGCCCTTGAGTCGCGTCCTACAAAATCGTAAACTTTTCCCGCGTATTCGAAACGACCATTAAGTTCAACGTCAGGTATTGCTTTATCATCGATGGTCAACCTTGGGAGAAACTGTTCGTATATGCCTTTTTTTTCTCACGCCAAAGGCGAGGCATTTGTCAATCCTCATACTCATTCCGGGTTAGTGGGTCCCCATATATATCCACACTGTTGAAATTCTTTTTTCAATTAGTTTCATCAACGGATTGAAACACAGATTAAACAGAAGAGGGAAAACGGATTACTTTGCAGAACCCCATGTTTAACCGGATTGGGAGAAGTTAAGCTTTCGCAACCAGAGACAGAAATTGAATAATCGGCATAAAAATTATTTATTAAATTTTTCATCTGAAGAGGAATGTGATGATAGTTTAGCGTTGAAGAGATAAGGTTATGGCTGACTTCTCCTAATGCGTTACGAAGATCTTAGATTGTGACGATGATGGTACGTTTGTGTCTCTCAGCATTGTTCATCATGTGCGTTAACATCTGGGTGTGTTCAGCCAATCTATCAACTCTAGGATAGGACTTTTTTTGAATGTTTTTGTTTATCAATTTATTTGTTTCAAGAAAGCTAAACATTCTATTGTTGATGAGCGATAAAAATATTTCGTATAGTGTTGGTTGCAGTGTTATTGGGCGGAAGTTCAAAGGGTTGTTGGTATCACCTTTTTTGTGGATTTTTATCGTAAACTCTTTTTTTCAGCATGAAGGAATTGAAGAAGATGACCAACATTGGATTAATAGCCGATGAAGAATAGTTCTGAGAGTTGGGCATTTTTGACTGGTATTATTGAGATTTGATCTAGTGGACATGAGGATGATCTTGATTTATATTTTCGAATAATTTTTGAGATTTTTCATAATAATAATAATAACAATAGCACCAACATATAGACAATAATATGATAAGAATAGCTATAAATTGCAAGTGGGGTTGCTACAAAGACCACGTGAACCAAATTACCACTTAATTATCTATGCTCTCGTAGTCATCATCACCATCGTCATCATTATCATCAGCAGCAACGTCAACAATGTAATCGTCACAACCATTATGACCATCATTATTAAAAATAGCAAACAGTTTTGTATGATATCATTACTCTAATAATGTGGATTTTAAACAATTTTTATGCAATGTAAAACATTATTCTTAAGAAAGAAATTTAGCAATAAAAGAAAGATAAAAAAAATACATTAAAACAATGTTGTCTTTAAAGAAATTTTTTTCATCGTTTCAATTTATAAGCATATCATCATTTTATTGTGAATGAAGTTGATTACGAAACATTTTATCCATCTACAATTCATCTTCTTCAGACGAAACTTCCGACTGCTTGTCTTCCTCTTCTTCCTCTCCTTTCTTTTTTTAAAAAACAAAGCCGCCAAAACAGACGTAGCTAAAGCAGCTAGCATGGCACCTATGATTCCTACAATTAAAAATCTATTACTAGACGAATGTGTTGCATATACTTTCTCAAATGAACAATGGATGGTGACTGCCCCTTCTTTCTTCTCTTCTCTGCACGGTTCCACACCATACCTCCCGTTGAAAAGATCGCATCCAGCCTCGAATACTTCCAACTCTGCAAGTGCAGTGTGATGATCTTTCATTCTTTCATCAGATGGTTGAATGAAAACAAAATCTTGTGAAGATAGTGAAGTTCTCACAGAAGACAATAATGGGGTTTCCGCCCTGTATCGCTTTTTCTGGTCCGAAACCGCACAAGTTGACTTTGTCCCTGATGTCTTCTCTATTGCTCACGTCGAACGTTTCGTTCAACCTAACAACAAACCAGTTCATTCTATTTATCATTTTAAGCCATTAATTTATTCTGTTGTACGCTCTGATGAATCCTACGCAATATAAACTGAGCAGGTCGACAGCCATCCAGGCTGGCATGGCATCAAATATGTGAGATATGTGGTAGCCGTCATAGTTGCCGTCTGTTAAATGTATTTTGTAATGAGCACCCACCTCGTGATTGTCGTATTCGATAATGTGTGAACTGTAATAAGGTGGTTTATGCAAGGCTAAATTTTTCCTGAAAACCTCACATTGGTTCCATTTGTTTCTGACATTACCGGGTGGACAAATACATTCAACGTACTTATTACCATTCACCGTGGACTCAATACATTCCATTCCAACAGGACAATCTCCTCCACCTGATGAGCAATCTCTTTCTCTGCATGAATCACCTCTCCATCCCGGATCACATCCATCAGGACAGTTTGCAGTTATTTTGTAACTTTCTTTGTTTCTGTTTCTGCAGTGAGAATAAGTCGATACTCCTCGTTGGAAGTCGTATTGGAAGCGTGTTGCGAATATCGTTGTTTTTGTCTCATGACCTTGGTGATAACATCCGCAAACTTCGGATCCGTCACTTGAGCACGGATCACAAATTAATGCTGTGAAGGAGCTATTTCCTGTACCATGTTCTTGAAAGCAACCACATCTGTTCGACGTGTCGATCTTCTGGAAAAACGTATAATTTGTCTCAAAACAGATATCAAAATCAAAATAACATCTGTCTGACGTGTTTGAAAACTGGCGTAGTCATCGTGCGTCACTCGTGGCTTGCTTTTATAAACGGAATATGAATCACTTCCACCACAAGCATCTTTATTGTCGCAAGGAACATCACACTGGGATGAAGCTACTGCTGAATCTAACCTTCCAGTACAGTTGCATTCTTTTCCACTCTTCAAAACAATCATATTGTTAATTTCCAACTTGCCCTTTATTGAACATTCATCCACTGAGCCAACTGATGCAACTGTTTTCGTTGAGCTGATGTTTAGGTAGCATCCTATGTAAGATTCTTTCAAGTCGATCGTTGCATGGACTACTGAGAGTAAGTTGATGGAGACAATTACAAATGCATAAACAATAATTAACATTAAAAAATATTGAAAACGAGCTTTGAAAATGAAATTTGCATACGTTACAGCTGTTTACATGTTTGATTGTATGACGTCCTTAGGTTTATCTAATGTTTGAATCAGGGCATCGAACCTAATTATTTTCTTTTCGGTTTACGGTTTCGGTTCAATCAGCCAAACGAATTTTGGTTAGGTCCCGGTTTTCGTTCCTGAAATAATATCGTTTTTTAGTTTCGGTTTCGCTCTGAAACTTAATTTTTTCACGCATAGTTCCTCATACGCATGTTACGGACATCCAACTACTAAAACAACGTCAATTTGAATCAAATTTAAGATTGTTAATAATAAGAAATCAATAACAAAAATGATTTTTAAATGTTTTCATTTCAAAAAGGAACGTTTCTAATTTTTTTTTCTAAAAATTAAAACAATCATTACAAAGATATTTTGAAATCACTCATATAGATATAAGATTGTTTTAAAAAAGTTGAAAATTTCCTCTTTTCCAAAATGTTTTTATTGAAACTACTTCTGCAGTCTTTGAGGATAAATTTTAATCTAAAACCAGATTTTTCCAGGTTCACTTGTGTAGCTGGTACTTCAAAATTTTGAAGATGATCTCACTTGATCTCTAATTTCTCCGATTATATTGGATTTCTCTTCACGTGTCAACTCTTACTCAAATTATTGGCGAACTCAGTCGGAAAAACATGCGAAAAGAGATAACAAATTTTCAAAAACAATAAAAATAAACATAAAATTTCAAAAGACGAAATATTATCTAAATATTTTTTTCTTAATTTGACAAAAATGTTTTCTTTTAAAATTTTAGCATCGAACCGTTATTTATTTCGTTACGATTTTTGGTTTTGGTTAAACTAGCAAACAATATTTCGGTTCGGTTACGGTTTTTGTTCTGAGCAAAATTTCGGTTTTTAACTGTTTTCGGTTACGGTTCAGTTCCGGTTCGATGCCCTGGTTATATGCGTAGGATCGTAAGATATGTGTCTAGATATATGTATATGTATGTTTCTAGTATGATGTTGCTGTGTATGTTAATGAGTACATTTATTTATTTGAACACTCCTATGTAGTTTCATTATATGTATATACGTATATGTATGTGAATGTATGCAGTGAAAATAATATATATACATATATTAATATAGTAATAATAATAATAAAATATATATATATATGTATATATATATTTACATATATGTATGTATGTATATATATATATACATCTATGTATATGTATATATCTGTATGTATATATATATACATCTAGATTAAATTTGGGCAACAATTGTATATCTCATACTGCCCCTAAATTATGGAACAGTGTGATTTCTTTCAACATTAAAAACATCGATAATCTGGCATCATTTTAAAAAAATCTCAAAATTTTGGTTTGTACTTATAAACCTCCATGAATCCTTGTGCTAACGGACTATCCTAATGGGCATTTTTCGTTACTCTGACTATTTACGTTTTGTATGCACATTCTTCATCAATTTGCCATCTACGTTCATATCTTGAAAAAATGTTGTTTATATTTTTGTAACTGTGCAGATGGTGTTTATGAAAATGTGTTTGTATACTTCTGCTTAAGTTTGATCATTGTTGTTTTCTCATTGAATCATTGTAGAACATTTTTAGTTATTAGAACTATTACTATTAATTGTAAAACTATTACGAGTTTTTTTTGTTTATTTTGTATCTTTGAAGAAAACAAACAATGAACAATATATATGTATGTATGTATATATGTGGTTGTATGTATGTATGTACGTATGTATTTTTCATTGCTCTGTCTTTTACGTCATGTATATATATATATATATATTTTTTTATAAATTGTCATCTATTATCATAACTTAGAATAATGTTTTATATATATTTATATAATTTATATATATATTTGTGTAACTATGCAATGTGTCTTGCAAAAATTTAGTCATTTTAGTTTTCTCATAGAAATATTTTTGACAATTTTTAGTTAAGGCATTATTACAAGTATCTTTTTGTTTACTTTTTGTGTCTTTGAAGAAATAAATAAATAAATATATATAAATATATATATATATATATATATATATATATATATATTGTGCCTAAGGCAATTGTCGTTAATGAATTATTGTATGTTTTAAGCAATAATCTCGGTTTATTGGGTAATGAGGATTTCGTTTACAACGTTTCTGATTTTTATTCTTGGAAAGGGTTTGTTTGTAGCTTAGAACGTTTGAAAAATGTAGTTGAATTGTATAAAAGCGAAATTGAAAATGACACTGATGAATTAATTTTGCATGAGACAACTAATAAAGACAAATGGTTGGATGCATGATTAAATTCTCTAGTTCTGAATTTTAATAGAACATTTATACGTCTGTTAGAACATAGTATACGTCAGTTAGAATACTCCCTAAAAATTGTCGAGAAAATCATTGAGAAAAGATTAACGTCATGCATCACAATCGGAAATTATCAATTTGGTTTCCTAGCGGAGAAATCAACAATTGAAGCAATTCACATCCTTCGGCAACTGCAATAGAAGTATCTCGCAAAGCATCAACAACTATGACACATATTTGTAGACCTTGAAAAAGCATTTGATCGTTCCCCGTGAAGCAATCAGGTGGAGTCTACGTCGACAACTCATTCCAGAATATCTTGTTCGACTTGTGATGGAAATGTATACGAATACTGAGACTCTCGTCAGCACAACGGTTGGAGACACAGATGCATTTGACATCGGCGTTGTAGTTCACCAAGGCTCGATCCACTGTTATTTATAACTGTGATGGAAGAAATCACAAAGCCAATACGCACTGGTGACATTTGAAATCTAATATATGCTGATGATATCGTTTTAACAGCCACGTCTGAGCAGAATGCAGCACAGATGTTTGAAGATTGGAACACCAGACTCGCCGATCATGGATTCAAAGTCAACATCAGCAAAACCATAACAATGAACAATGGTGAACCCATTCTATGCACAGCTACAGGACGATGGCCCTGTTCAGTTTGTAAAGCTGGTGTAGGTAACAATTCAATCAAGTGTCAGCAGTGTAGCCAGTGATGTCACAAACGTTGTTCAAAAATAATTGGTAATTTATCTAAAGTGTCCAATTTTGTTTGTCCTGCTTGCATCAATCCACAACAACAAATTCGAAATAGCAATGTTTTTGAAGCCATTAAGATAGAAAAAGTCACATCGTTTCAATATCTAGTGGATGTTCTGGATTGAACTGGAACAGCTGAAGCTGTCGTTCGAGCACGTATACGTGCAGCCTGGAATAAATGGCATCTCCTTGCCTCTATATTGATGCGGCGTGACATCCCACTACCACTACGATCAAGACTTTATAAATCTGTGATACGTCCGGTCTTGTTATTGTTCAATTTCTTGTCACGTAGATCGTTTTAATTAATTGATATAATACTGAAGGACATTAAAAAAAGCGAAAATGAACTTAGAAACGTTCTTGACTTGTTTATTATCAACTGGAACAACAGAAAAGGAAGAAGTGAAATTACATTCAAAGCAAAGAACATTTGGTCCAAAGAAAATAAATGTATATAATAGACCATGATGTTTTAAAATGAAACATTCAACTTAACACCTTCTCATTTTATTTAAAATGATTACCTTAACATAAACGTTCTGAAAACCCATCACACACATCAGATTCTTTAATCTTGGTTCTACCATTGGTTTTGTCAGGGCATCAGCAATTTGAAGTTTTGTCGCAACTCGTTCAACAGAATCTTCCTCTTCTGCAACCTTTTCTCTGACAAAAAAATGTCTAATGTGGATATGCTTTGTTTTTCTGTGAAGTTCTGGATTGTGTGCTAAACGAATCGCTGCTTCATGGTCGACAAAGTTTTCTGGTTTTTTCTTCAGATCTACAATGTCGTTCAACAATCGTTTGAGCCATATCACTTCACGAGCTGCTTCACTTGCGGCAACAATTTCTGCTTCGGTAGTTGAACTCGCAACTGAGGATTGACGTTAGCTAAACCAACAGATCACGCTTCCTCTAAACATACAGATTACTCCTGATGTCGATCTTCCTCTAGATTTATCTCCTCCGTGATCTGCATCATCCTAGGCTATAAGTGTATTGTTTTGGCCAGACTTGTAAACAATACCGACATCAGCTGTGCCTTGCAAATGGCTGAAAATTTGCTTGACTTGTGTTACATTAAACTTGCTGGGGTTTTTCAAACTTTTGGATGCTACTCCAACTGCATATTCAATATCTGGTTTTGTTCTTGTCATCAAGTACATCAATGCACCAACTGCTGATCTGTAAGAAAATTTCACTTCCTCGTGTTCATTTTTGTTTTCATCGAATTCCTCAAATTTTGTAATCGGAGTTGTACAGGGTTTACACTGGCTCATCCCAAACTTTTCAAGAATCATTCTTGTATACGATGACTGACTGACTTTAATATTTCCCTTCTCATCTTGATTAATTTCTAATCCAAGAAAATATGTTGCAGGTTTAGATGTTATCTTGAACTCTGACTTTAATTGTTTTTCAAAATTTTTTAGTTTTTTTTATCGGTTCCTGCAACTAGCCCATCATCAACGTACATTGCAAATATGAAATTCTTTCCTTCCTGTATTCTAATGAACAAACAAGTATCTGCATCGCTTTGTTTGAAATTTCTTTTTTACAAAAACTCAGCAAAGCGTTTGTTCCAACATCTTGGAGCTTAAGTCCATAGAGACTTCGCTTGAGTTTACAGACTCTTCCTGAATTATCTTTAAAACCTTCAGGTTGCTCCATGTAGATATTTTCTTCTAGTTTACAGAAATGCTGTGGACACATCAAACTGCATGAGTGACATCTTTTCATTTGCAGCAACACTTAATAGTGTTCTTATAGTTGAACTTCTGACCACAGGACTATAGGTTTCTTCATAGTCAATTTCCTTTTTTTGCGAAAAACCTTTTACCACTAGCCTGGCTTTAAAACGTTCAAAAGAACCATTTAGATTGTGTTTTACCTTGTAAACCCAGTATTGCCTTATGACCTTTTGAAAGACTTAGCAAATCCTACGTTTGATTTACCTCTGATGACTGCATTTCACTGTTCATGGCATTAAACCATTGATCTTTTTCATCACTTTGAATGGCATTTTTGTAACTTTCTGGTTCAAGTACTTCACATAATGCAGACATAACAAAAGGATCATAATGAGTTGGCTTTTTGATATTATTCCTGTCACGCAAAACCATACCTTAGTCTTTATCAGATGAAACTGGACTACGGTCGTGAACATCTTCATCAGTTGAAATACTTTCTTTAATCAAAGTTTCTTTATTATCATTTTTGATTTCAACATCAATCGAAACTGTATCATCTAAACAACTTTCTTCTCGCAAAATCACTGAATTTGGTTTGACAACCTTCTCATCAAAAACAACATCTCTTGATCAAAGCATTTTATTTCCTGGTTGAACAAAAACTCTGTAGCCATCGTCACCTTCATATCCAACGAAGATACCATTCACAGCTTTAGTATCCATTTTTCGTCGTTTCTGCATAGGAATATGAACATAGGCTTTGCTACTAATTATTCGTAGATCTTAGGTTTCTCGTTAAACCACACTTCATACGGTGATTTTACTTCTACAGAAGATGGTCCTGTTTGGTTGAGTATTAATTAGTTCAGCCCAAAAGACCTGAAACAGTTCTTTATAAGCCAGTCTCATGGTTTTTGCTACTTCAACTAGCGTTCGATTATCACGCTCACTGCAACCATTCTGCTGAGGTGTATAAGGCATAGTTAGGCGTTGTCTAACTCCTTCTTTTGTAAAATTGATCTGACATCTTTGTTGTCAAATTCACCTTCATTGTCACTTAATACTTTTGAGACTTTATGAGCAGCTGATCTTGACTCTGCAAGCATTTGTCTGAGTCTTTCTGGTACATCTGATTTTTGTTTAACAAAGTATCTTTAATTTGGAAATGAGAAGCAAAAAAGACCATATACATCAGTGTGAATTAATTCTCCTGGTCTTGATGCTCTTACTCGAGTTCCAAATTTCAATCGACGTAACTTTTCGTAGACACATCTTTCACATAATTCACTGTCTACAGGTATATCGATGTTTAGTTCACGTTTCATGTCAATTTTAACATGTTTCTTATTCTGGTGTCCCATTTTTTCATGGTATAACTGCATTGCATCTTGATCATTGACAAAGTTAACTTCAACTTCAGAATTCAACGGTCTAACATTTTTTGCAACAAGTTTGAACAAACCTCCATTGTTGTTTCTTATTCCAACAACATTTATCACATTGTCAATAAGTAGATGACAACTGCTTGAGGTTGAAATAAAAGAGCTATTTCTGTTCTTATCTTGAGTTGCTAGTACTGAGAACAGATTTTTTTTTACTTTGGCACATACCAGATATCTGTGAGTTTAACAGTTTGCCATTTAT